TTTACCCATGAGCTACTGTGAGACTCGATAAGACACACGTCAGAGTATGTAGAATATAATTGTATGTTAATGTTTTCTACCGCTGCTCACACTGTACCTGGTGACCCACCATCCCGTGGAAGGTTCCTTCTGGACAGTGAGCCCCATCACATCAGATGCCTGGCCCCCCATTCCTGTTCTCTCTGCCTGCGCACAAGGATCTACAAAGAGCCAGTTGAATAAATGACTGTGAATCACTGTGACCCCTGGAGAGGAAGTGAAGGCCCTTCTGCATTTAGCCCATTTGGTGGAGACTGGATGGACTGCTCTTGATCGGTGTACCCAGTTTGGCCAACCAGCTCAAGTATGAGCAGAGGGGAGAGTTTCTTCCTCCCTTCATTTCAGGGTACTGTAAACCATGGAGCTGTATTCTGAGCCTCCCTGACTGTGGCTCTTGCATGTGGACCATCAGGCCTCTGTGCCTCAATGACACATTTCTAGGGCTCTGAGCATCCTGCCCCCTGCTCACCCTTCCTTCCCCAGACCCACCTTCCCCAGAAGCTCTTGTCTTGATGTTAACATCGAAGGACAAATGTGGTCCCATATTTCAAAGTCATCGGGCAGACCTGATTAATTTTGGAAATGAACAACATGAAGATTCATCACAAACTCTCAGGTATGAGCAGCAATAAACAAAGCCAGAGCATGGAGCGCTATTTATTTATTAAAACAGTAAATTGAAGGGAAATGGGCTATTTATTTTTCACGATGTCTTCCCCAGAAATAATTGGTTCATTAATCACATTCTCACTGTGGTCACGTTTGGAAGGTCAGGCTCACGGGGGATGAAGCAGGGGACGGTGTTCATAACCCTGCTGCACGTGGCACCCGAGGAGGCCGTGCCCAGAGGTGTGGTCCTGTGGGTCCCGTAGCAAGTGTGCAGGCAGCCAGGAGCTGGGAGGGTGGATGCCATAGCCATTAAGACCACAGGTTGGCAGCTGGCTTGAGTTCACATTCTAGCCACTGCCACTTGCTAGCTGCGTGGCCTTGAGCAAGTTATATACCTCTGTGACTCAGTTTCTTCACTATGACATGCTGCGAGTACTGGCCCCTACCTCGTAGGCTAAGTGAGCTGCAGAGCGCTAGTAAACAGCGGGACCAGGTTTGGTGCCTCGGTAGGCCTTGGTTGGAATTGTTCCTCTGGTCCAGGTAGAACCTGGTGGGCCATTTTTCTATGTTGGAAGCTTAGAGTATAAGGTGGGTTCTCAGGACTTCCAAGGGGCCATAATAGCGTAGTAGTGGCTAGGAGGGTAGGCTCTACAGTCAGGCTCTGGGTTCAAATCCATCCTCTGCTTAAAGAATGACTTGGCCTTCCTATGCCTTAGTTTCTTCATTGCAAAGTGAGGGTGATGGTAATAGTGCTACTTGACAAGGTTATAAAGAATACTAAGTGTGAAAATAAATGCAAAGTACTTATCTTAATGGCTGGCCACAGAAGCAATTAACCCATGTTTGCTGTTATTATTATCATTTTTAGGACCTTCCTGGCCTGTGATTGCACTCTAGACAGTAACCATGATCCAGGTGAGCAGACCTGAGACTTTAGTCTCTTCCCTGGCAAGGTTGGGGTGGGGACCAGAGCCCAAAGAGGGAGGGACTCAGGAACTGCACCTAAGGCAAAAGCCAGTGTCACAGATGGCCCTGGAGGCTCCATGTGGATTGAGTAGGTGTTGGACATGACCAGGGGTTTGGGATCATGGGATGGGACACAGCATGGATGAGAGGCAGCCCCTTTGGTAACACCCTAGTCTATGAGTTGCTCCAGAGCATCTGCCCCACGGGCTGAGTTTCGTTAGGAGACTCAGTCCTGGTTGGAAGGGGACTTGAACCTGCACACAGGGCAGGGTAGAAAGGGCAGGATGGAAAAGTCAAATATGTAACACTGTACCCATCTCTTGCTTATCTGTTCTGAGTCTCTTGCCTATGGAGGTCTGACTCTGAGACCCTTGTTTTTTAAGTTTACTTATTTACTGAGAGAAAAAGAAGTGCCCCCAACAGGGCCTCATGCCATGACCCCCCCACCCCCCTCAGTCTTTCCCAGCCAGCCAGGAAAACCGGTATGTGTGCACACACCCAGCAGGCATGAGTCAGCTGAGAGCTGAGCCTGATCTTCACATGGCTTCCAGCTGTGCAGACTCAGGCAGTAATGCTGCACACCGCAGCATGGTCTAGCACCAAGACTCTTCTTCAACACATCTGTCTGGGTAGCCAGAACCAACTGAATGCCCTGAAACGGACGGGACCTATTACTGTTCCAGGGCTGCAAGGTCCAGGCTCATCTAGTGTATTAAAACCAGCTTTTGGCCCTGAGAGATCAAGAGAGGCTGAATTCATGGGAGGACCTGGGCCTCAGGGATCCCAGAAGAACTGAGCAGGAGGAGGCAGGGCTAACCATATTCCCAAGGGACTCATGCTGGAATTGGGGAGACCTCTCTTTTTTCTCCTGTCTCTTTCATTATCAATAAAAGGAATAGTTAAGTGCAAAAGTACGCGCTATGGTTAGTTTCCATGCAAGAGGTATTGAGGGGCTGGGAAAGGTATGTGAGTTGGAGCACAGAGGAGGTAACAACCAGGTAGCCTAGGATGGCCAGACCAGGGGAAGGCCAAGGGTGAGTATATTGCTTACTCCCGTTCTCTGCTCTTCTCTGGGCTGCTCTGTATTGACCTTTATGGCTCTTCTGCTCTCTAACTCCAGCTAGGTTGGCCAATGGGAAGCTTTAGTAGACTAAGTGACAGCAGATGGGGTGGGGGAAAGGAGAGGTCCCTCCTTGCTGGGCTGTGATTTCCATGGCGAGGTCCTGCCTTTGGTTGCAGGGACCACTTGCCTGGCTATAGCTGCCAATGAGGTATGGAGGCACCTCTCCCCTCTCCTTGTCTCATTAGCTATAGGAGTGGGAGGGCTTCTGCTCTTGTCTGTGGGTGCTTCACTTCTCCTGCTCACATTTTACTCAAAGATCTTCTGTTAACTCTCTTCACTTAGCCCCCACCTCCCGTGTGCTATCTGCTTCCATCCAAGGCCCTAACTCATACCCTGAGTGCAGATGGGTCTTTTTTTGCCCTAGTTGGAGAAGAGATCAGGTTATACTGGGGACATTTCCATGGTCCACAACTGACGATGGATTAGACCTGTAGGAAGGTATGAGCAGAGCATCTTAGGGGAGCAGAACTATTGGAAGGAAATAACTATCAAGCTCTCCTTGGTCTGAGAATCATTTGGAAGGAAATAACTATCAAGCTCTCCTTGGCCTGAGAAGCACCTCCTTGGAGTCCTCCTGTAATAGCTCAGCTCCTTTTGGAAATCCTGGCGTGCCTTACCTGGATCCCCAAGGAGCCCATGGCGAAGGTTTAGGGCCACACCAGGAGCGCAGTGCCCTCTAGAGTCTGCTGTGAGGGTGGCACAGGAATTACAAGGAGCTTGTGAAGGCCAGGGGATGGATGGGGATGAGCCAGGAGGGAAAGGAGGCAGAGGAGGCACAGAGTCTAGACCATGTGGCCCAATTGCCCCTCCTCTCCGGGATCAGCCTTCCGGGACAAGGTTCTGTGCTGGATTCTGGGCACTTTCCACAAAAAAGCTGTGTCATAGGCAAGATCAGCTACGTAATTAGCTGAGCCCAGTACAAAATACAAATATGGAGCCCCTTGTTCAGAAATTTTAAGAAATTCAAGACAGTGATGGCAGAGCATTAAACTAAGCCTGGGGGCTTAGGGTCTTGAGGTCTCATGCCACAGGATCTCCCCCATAGATAACACGGGTAGGCCCCCTCCCACGGGTACAGAAACAGGAAGGTGGAACAGATGTAATCACTCTTCATAGTGACGGCCACAGTGTGGCTACACTGACTGATTTTTTTTTTTTTTGAGAGGTTTTTGCTATAGGGGGTGCGTGTGCTTGCCAGAAAGACAGAGAGAGATACAGAGATAGAAATTGAGAAATCACCCCCTGGGGGGATGGCCACACCACAATCCCTTCTCCCCCATTCTCCTCTCGGGATCTTGGGCACGCACACACACCCGGTGTGAGTTTAAGCCACCGGGTCCAGTACTCGAACTGCGGTCGACTACATGAGAGTCCAGCGACATAGCCATTACGCCAACTGCTGGTCCCCACTGATTTTTAAAACACACCCATTTTAGGGCTAATGCTTTTCTAGGCCCTTTCTGTCTAATCTTGTTACCGAAACACCAAAGAAAGGAATTCCTGCACGCTGGTGGAGAGAGACTGGCTGAGGCAGAGAGCAGGGCAGAGGGTCTTGAGGATCGGTTCTAGATGTGGCCTGAGGGTGTCTGCCTCATCATTGCTGTCCTGTTTGGAGCCGAAGGCAGGAGATGGAGGATGGTGAGATGATACATTTGGGGGTGACTCTGTTCTGTGTTTGTTTTTCTGGGCGTAGACTGTTAAGATCATGAAAAAAACAAACACTGAATCTAATGGCTAGAGAGTCCTCAGAACTTTCTTGTATCTTGCCTGTAATTAGAAAGAATTGAAGAGAGTAAAGGCGCTCTGATTCCCACAGCCTCTGCCTCATGGGGGGCCATGTGAGATGATGGCTGCCTCGGTCTTAATGAGAACGGAAATGCCTTTTCTCTTTGGGTCAGTGTGTGTGTTTGTGTTTGCACACACGTGCACAGGTCTATCTATGCACATGTGCATATATGTCTGTGCATGTGTGGTTGCTCCACACATGTGTAAGTGGTTACATAAGCCTGTGCACGTGTGTACACATAGACAGTACAAACGTATGCACAGGGTTGTAGATTGTGTGTGCATTCACACAGGGTTGAAGGTCTGTGCACGGGCAGGTTCAGTGTGTAAAATGTTTTCATTCTTCCATCAGCTGCTTCGGTGACAAAGAGCAGGGAGCTGTGCAGCCAGCTCAGGGAGAAGGGAAAGCGTCATAATGGGTGGGGTTGGGGCTGGGGTGAGGTAAGCCAGGCAACCGGCAGCCTGTCTACAGCCCACTGCCCTCCACTTACCCGCTCCTCCCTCTTCTCTGCTGGATCACAGGTCTTCTCTTCCTGTGCTCAGGATTCTGGCTTGCTTGGCTCCCTGGACCCAGTTCTAGCCCATGGCATGTCTTTGCAAGGCCATGGCCCCAGCCATCCTTCATAACGGACAGATGACGTGTGCTCCATGTGTGCTGTGGTGAGCGTTTACAGGTCAATTTTGGCACAGTTCATCTTTTTGTACTGAATCATTGGCCATTGACCAGCCTACACCTACCTGTCCTTGGGCTGGGTTGAACCAATTATGGAGGAAGAAACCGCATAGTACAATCAGGGTCACAGCTGGGACTGTGGTTGGGACAACGGGAGATGCTTCAGGTATGTCTGACAAAGTCTCTCATCACCCATGCAGTGAGACTCTTATCCCTGTGGACATCAGGACAACTGGGCAGGGCTTGCCTGGACAAGGTGGGCCTGGAAGTAGAAAGGCACCTGGGGTCCGGGGCCTCATTTTCACCACTGCCCTCTGCTCCCCTGCTATGGGCTGATTTGTCTTCCTGGATTTATATTTCGAAGGTCTAATCCCTTCATTCCTCAGAGTGTGACCTTGATGAGGGTCTTTACAGAGGTACTGATGTCAATATGAGCTCAATGGGATGGGTCTTTTATGTTTTATTGCCATAGGATGTGTGCCAGAGGGTGACAGAGAGACAGAGAGACAGAGAGACATAAAGCATATCCAATGGGGCATGGTCATACTGTAATCCCTTCTTCATCTCTCTGTCCTGCCGGGATTTGGGGCCTGGTGTGTTTTCGAGTCACTGGGGCTGGGATTCAAGCCACGCAGTTGGCCATGTGGGATCCGCTTCCTTAACCACTAGACCTTGGGACCAGCCAAGGCTGAATCTTAATCCAGTATGACTGGTGCCCTAAGAAAGAGAGGTTAGGAGGTAGCCATGCACCGAGGGAAGATCATGTGAAGAGACAGGGAGAAGGAGGACAAGACCCTTCCCCTGCAGCCCTCAGAGGAACCCACCCTGGGGACACTTGGATTTTAGCCTGTGAGACAACACCTTTCTGTCATTTAAGCTACCTAGTCTGCAGTACGGTTATGGCAGCCATAGCAAAGTACTAGACCTCAAGGAGCACTTCCTGAGGAAGGAGGAAAGACACGGGGTTCTAGCACCCTGGGGGCTGGGCTGTGATATTGATTCCCAGAGAGTGTGGCAGCAGGAGGCCAGGCCTCCTCACACCCATGGCCCACCTCGGCTCCAGGGCCTGGCCTCGCTCTTCTGACGCCAGCGTCTAGTTATCAAGGAGCAGTCACAGGGCCCGTGTCTGAGCTGGTCATTTGAAATCTTTGATGTGACCCACGGGAAGCTTTAGGTAAGAAACAAAGCTGATTGTATTTGTGTTTCAGCAAGACCCCAGTGAGTACCACAGTGCGAAGGACAGATGGGGTGGAAGGGCCTGTCCACGTGAGCAATGACGAGGTTCAGGGGGATCCCAGAGCTGTTCAGAAGATGTCACTGTCATGACAGGCTTCGTGAGGAGACAGGGAGGAAGGGATAGGAGCAGGGACCACGTGCGCGATCTCTAGCTCTAGGACCTGGTGGAGGTGGTGCTGGTCACTGGCTGGGCCTGGGGAGGCACTGTCTGAGGTAGCCACACACCTGCCCAGGCCTGTCTGCAGCAGGAGGTCAGGCTGGAGAACAGGGGAGAGGTCCAGGGCGCAGGTGCAGGTTTGGACGTCACTGGTGTCAGGTGCGGGAGGGCCGTGGGCAGGGGTCTCTGCATAGGAGCGGGTGGGAGCTGCTTTTCCCAGCAGCAGGCCATCTGGTAGGTGATCAGGCAAAAACAGAGAGGTAGTGGGGGAATGAGACAGGCAAGGTAGGAAGGGCAAGGACATGCAGTGGGCAGCTGGGTCTCAGTCCCCTGGGGGCCCTTTGTGTGACTAGGGCACTAGTCCCCACATTGGTTCCCCAGAAGGGTGAGAAGGCCCATCCCTGTTGTCTGGGAGTTGCTTCTGGGCTATAAACTCTGGCACCTCTGTGTGCCTGTGCACAGGCAGACTAGGTGTCTGTGGCCGGAGAAATGCCCCAGGCAGAGATGCAGGCAGCTGGTGGAAGGATAGGGGAGTGGGGAGGAGGGGGCGGCGGAGTAGGGGGACGACTGCGGGAATGTGGTTGCTGGCCGGTGACCTCTGAGGCCAGCCAGGACACAGCAGGGCACCATGTCTTCTGCCAAGGTTGTGGCCCCAAATCCCCGCTTCCAGCGGGGAGCAAGGAGCTGTGCTCTCCCTTCATTGCTCATGGCAGATGAGCCGTGGGCAAGGGCCAGGCGGGGCGGCGGCTGAGTTATGAGCTGGGCTGTGGGCAGGCAGCACATCAAGTGGGTCTCACCACACAAGCGAAGGGCCTTTTCTAGTGTCAGGGAAGGCAGTAGAAGAAAAAGCAGAGCTGTTTGATGAGCAAATCATTAAGAAAAATAATGATCTCACTCCAGGGTGTTCAGAGAGTCCCTGCCCAGCGGCTAATTAGCTTGCAGCAGCAGTAGCCAGTCAAGGGGAGGAAGGGGTGAGGCTGGGCCTGGCCCAGGGTCCCCACACCCTCTTTCTCCTTTCTCCTCCGACTTCCTGCCTCTCGCACCCAGCCAGCACCCCTCCTTACCGTCATACCTCTGAGATGCACGGAGCTGGACTCTCCGCCGTCCGAGTCCTCAGGGCCATCTCAGGGCCTCTTTCCTCTGGGGCTCCTGGTGAGCTGGTGTCCAGGAGGGAGCTGCTCCCAGTCCTGTCAGAACTGTCCAGCTAGCTTACAGAGGAGGGTGCTGTTCTTGAGCTTGCTCCTCAGGGTGCAGAGGCTGTCGGGCTGAGTTGGGGTGCACTGATAGGAGGGCAAGGAGATGGGGGGTGTGGGCAGTGATGAGCACGAGAATGGGTGCCTGCAGGCAGATGGCACGGACATGCGTGGGCATCCGCACAGGCGGGGTGGGACGTGGCTGTGGCTGGCACGGCACAGTGTGGTGTGGATTACTGCCGGGTGTGGATATTGGTGACACAATCGGGTGTCAGGATGCCAGGGGATGAGGTAACAACTACAATTTTATTGTGTACCCGTTACTGTGACACATGTTTCACATCCATTTACTCATTTATTTAATTTTCACAACCTCATAAAAGATATCCTATAACATCCCTACTCTTTTAAGATTTTTTTTTTTTTTGCCATTGGGCATATGGTCTCATTGGAGAGAGACAGAGAGAGGGAGTGATAAATCACCCTCCAGGTCAGGGTGGCCATGCCACAATCCCTTCTCTTCCTTTCCTGTGGGATTTTGGGTCCATGCGCACGTACCTGGTATGATTTTCAAGCCTCCAGGTGTGAGTATTAAATTGTGGTCAGCCATGGTGAGTCCAGTTTCATACCTACTGTGCCTTCTGCTGGCCCCAAGCATCCCCACTCTTTAGGAAAGGGAATCGAGGCACAATGAGGTCAAATAGGTGTCCAAGGTCACTCAGCTAGTAAGTGGCAGGGCAAGGACTTGAACCCAGGCTGTCTGGCTCAAGAATCCTTAATCTTCATCCTTCTCCTGTATACCAGGAATATAGAGTGAACAGTGAAGATGGGGGCTGCAGAAGGCATTCTGGATCACGGGCATGAGACAGAGGATGGCATGGATGACGCCAAAGATGGGGCCTGTGCACATACAGGAGGGGGTACAGGTACGGCTTAATCCTGAAGCAAATGCTCCTGGGGGCTCATTAAAGCAGAGATCGGATCATTTCTGATTCCTGAGCTCTGGGGTGGGGCTCAAGAACTGCATTTCTAATAATTTTCCAGGTGATACTAATGCTGCTGGTTTAGAGACAAGATTTCAGGGACACTGGTATAGGATATTACACAAGGACGATTATGAAGAACAGAAACAGGCAAGTTAGAGGTTACAGAGAGAGAATTGAGAAACATGGACTGGGCTATAGCCAGAAAAAGAAACCAGTTGGCATGAGCAGTTTAGGCAGGTGGGGAAGGTATGGGGCAGAGGCTACTGGGGCCCCGACTTGTGAGCAAGGTAGTGCCTAGAGCCTCATCGCTTCTTCCTTCTCAAGGGCTCTGGCTCTCATGCTGACCTCATGAGTAATGGCCATCTGCTTGGCACATGTCTGGGTATCCTCTCATTGGCCTCAGTAAAACCCAAGGGGACCTCTGGGAAGTTAAATGTAAACTTAAAAAGGAATCTGTGACAGTGGCCTGGGGATGCCTGGGGGGGGGTCCCTCTAGGTGAATCCTGAGCAGGATGGGGTACCCACTGTGCAAAGGTGGCTGGAACAACAGGTCTCCCTTGGAGTCCCATAGATGCAGGATTTTCTTAATATTCAACAATTTTCAGCTATAAGTTGCTGATTTGAAACAGGCAACGGCCTGGGTGGAAGCCCCTGGGAAAGGCCCTGGAGAATTCGAGGAGGGTAGTGGGCTGATGCCTCTGTCCAGAAAGGGTTTTCTCTCCTTCCTCCGTCAGAGAAAATCACTGGTTATTGCTCTGCTGTGAGCTAGAAAGTTGGAGGTAGGGTCAGAGGGGTAGAAGGGTTCCTCAAACATAAAAAGGAGCCTCAGGTGGTGGAAGGGCTCTTTGCCGAAGGCTGTTAAAGGGATGGAGGTTGGACTGCAGGCTCTGTGTATGACTAAGAGGGTTCCGTGTATGACTAGAAGGGCCACAGGTCTCCTGAGGCTGGGCCCAGAGGGGCTGACGTGGGGTCATAATCGAGTGAGTCATGTGTATGGGATGCATTGGGTCCTCCCCAAAAGACATTAACATCTTCACCCTATACTTCAGGATGTGACCTTATTTGGAGACAGTCTTTATAGTGGTAAATAAGTCAACATGGGGTCATTAGGCCAGGCCTCAGTTCAATGCATGTAACTGGTATCTTTGTTACAATGAGAAACTGGAACTCAAGAGACAGACACATGTGAACGGAAGGTGCTATGAAGGCCCAGGGAGGAGATGGCCGTCTACACACCAAGGCAGGCTGAAGGCACCCAGAAGCTGGGGAAAAGCCTGGGATGGTTCTATTTCACAGCTTGATTTTTTGGACTTCTAGCCTCCAGAATCGTAAGACTGTAAGTTTAGGATATTTAAGCACCTAGTATTTTATGGCAGCCATAAAAACACAAATACAGGTTCAGCAACAAGATATAGGCAAGTGTCCCTGCTGAGGGTGGGCAGTGGACAGCTTTGGGAGGTAAGAAGGTGACTTGGTGACTTTAGAGAATGGCAGTGTAGCTGGATACTCAACAGATGCTGCTGCAGCAGCCAATGAGAAACTATGGCTGGGCACTCCCAAGGCGGGG